ACACATCCTCACCCTCGCTTGAAGTGGACAGGAATGCTTCAACGGCAAACCAACATCCACCTAGGTACAAGGTCACTCATTCAGGAAGTACCTGATGTTCGCACTCATCAACTCTATCTCTCGACAAGACTTTCGTCACAAGCTGCTTCACTTGCACCCAACTCTTCTACTTCTACAAACTTCTACCCTTCTGCGCAAACTCCCTGCACAGCTGCTTCACTGAGATCCATGGTAAACCAACCCCCAGCCTCACACAACAAGGGAACCAACCATGGGACCGCCCTTCTTTGCCCGCTTTGCCCTAAACCAAAACCGCGATGGAGGCATTGACAAGGCCGGCCAAGATCGGAGGGCGCTTGGTGCCTGCTGGAGCGCAGATTGAGAAGATCCGCTATGTGCCACCAGGTGCATGTTGCCGCTGGGAATTCTGGGGTGAGAATACGTAATTGATAGATGATTACTCATCCAAGTCCAATGGCTTCTGGGACTCTTCCAATTTGCAAGTGGGTCCTACAGAATGTGTGTTTTGAAATGTTTTGAATGCCCATCTCCGCAGCATTCCGCAGCTTTTTTCCACCCCATGAGCAGCGAGATCGCTGCTAGTGCCCCTGTGGACTCTCGACTGCATTCAATCGAGGTAGCGGCTCAGAAACGGGAACTGAGCACTGGTCAAGCCCTGCTGTGAAATCCACCTGAGATTGAGAGATTGATGTGATGGGTGGAAATCAAGACTGGGTGTGTTCTTTTTTCAGTCAGGCCGTTCATTGTCAAATTCTGTTTATGACTAGCCAAGAGACTCCTTCCGTGCTTGAGATGCTGTCTGCTTGGCATCCTCCTTCTCCACACCAGCCTTCCTAGCCTTGTGCCAAGCTGTGTCAGTCACCTGGGTTGCAAACACAGTTCACATATTATGGAAGGCTGTGGACTCAGATCACCTTTTTCATACACGAACTGATATTGGCTAGAAGATGCTAGAAGTATTTGAGCCAAAGAACAGAGCGGATCTTCTTGCCAAGACTGATCGGTGACCACTCCATTTTCTCCATTGCCCGAGACTTTGCCTTCGCTCCGGGTTCTGCCGCGGCTTTGGCTTTCGCGCGTGCTTTGGCCTTGGCCTGTGCACGTGCTTTGGCCTTGGCCTGTGCACGTGCTTTGGCCTTGGCCTTTGCACGTGCTTTGGCCTTGGCCTTCGCACTGGCTCTGGCCTTGGCCTTCGCACTGGCATCGGCCAAACGTTTTGCTTTCCCAGACCCAGCGCTGCTGCTTGCATGGCTTGCTTGCGCAGGCATACCTTCTTCCCTTTTCTCTTTGTCCCTTTTGTTGATTTCCACCTCAAGCTCCTTGATCTTGTTCGGCAAATTCTCAGACGTAATCGAATTTGGAGAGAACTCGCCATTGAGGCAGGTCGGCAAGGAAACTCCTGATTCAGGAGTTTCGATGAGAACCTCCAACTCAGGATCTTCCGACTCAAGGTTTCCATTTGGCACTGGTGGCCCTGGTTCCTCACGAGCAGCCTGGTAGATCTCCTGCTCCCGGAAGTCTTCATCAAGCATGCCCAAACGATTCATATGTGTGTCCAACAATGTGAGAGCATTGTAAACTGCAGCCTTTGTTGCAACAACCAACTTCACAGGCACCCAACACCCCTCCTTGTCATTCTTGCTTGTTGCCTCTTCATGTGCTTCAGCAGCAAAGGAAGCCGACAAATCCCGGGGCTGCATGTTGACCTGAACAGTTGCTTTACCGTTTTGAATGTCTAGGAGAGGCATACAAGAGTAACAGCTGACCCACACTGCCCACACTGACCCCCAAAATGAGTTGTATAGTCGTACATTGATACACGGTGCTGTGTTCTTTGAAATCATATCCAGCCTCAGGGAAAACCTCCTGTGAAGGCTCAACTGGTTCAGAGGCAGCTTGCCCAAGATACACTTTGTCCTTGGATTGGGCAGTCAAACAAACCTCAAGGAAGACCATCAAACTAGTAGATCACATAGTAGGTAGTCAGAGTCATAGTAGTAGCAGTAGCTGCGTAAACAGGTATGCAAAAGCAAATTCAAACACACAGAACAGCTCAGGACTGCCAAGCACATGGATGGTTCTATGCTCTACGAGCTGCACTGCAAGGCACTTTGTCTCCAAGACACTGGCAAATTGGGACATGGAGAGGGAGAAAGACCCAGTTGATTGTCCGGCACAGGCCTTGTGGCAAAAGGACGTGTTTAGCTGTCAATCCAATGCATGTCTCTCAGATTGACCCAACTTTAATAGCATTAATTTTCATCATATCAAAGGCGAGCTTCATCGAGTCATTGATTTCGATGATGACATCCTCCATTGCTGGGTCAAGCAAAGTCTCCCCAACCATCTCTTCAGTTTCCGGGACCATCCCTTCAGTTCGCATAGTCGCTGGTAATTCTTCACTGGGCATAGTTTCCAGGACCATCTCTTCAATTGGCATAGTCGCTGGGAACTCTTCACTGGGCATAGTTTCCGGGACCATCTCTTCA